GACTCATCACTGGACTCACTACTAACATTAGCAAGAATTTCAGGTGTACAAAGTGGTCCCTTAAACAATGTCAGTCATTCTTCTTCAGCAGAAGTCTCCCATGTGATATCTGAATGTTGATTAAGTCAGCACATCACTCTTGTGATCTGTTGTTGTTTTTCCTCATGTTTACGTGTAATAATACAGTTCCACGGTATAAAACTATTGTTCTTTTCATGGTACATATACAAATCCTAGGCTTAAACAAAGTAAACTAAAAGATATGGTTCGTTATGGCTAATTGTTAGTTTATATCGTTCTTCTCTTAATTTTCACGAGTGTATATGGCTAAAAATAGTTAAGAAGGTTAGCCTCACTCATCTTTTCATGTCCTTTTAGTTATATCTCGTCCCATGCCTTCTTTCCTGCTAAAACCTCTCATTCTTGATGGACCATGTGGTGCACAGGTGGTCGCCATTTTGTTATATACGCCTACGCTGTTACCACACGTGGGCGGCAGTAATGGCGTCGAGTACTGAGTGCTTTCTAAGTGCCCAAGTGCTTTGATTTCTCTTCTCCTTTTCTACACCTGCGCTCTAGTTGTATCATATATTAAAACACCCGCTTTCTCATGAAAAGTATCATGGAAAAAAGCCGCTGTCTGTAACTATATATTAAATAAGAAAGTTATTTCAATTCAAAGTTGACAAAGTCAGTGTGGCTCTACTATAGTAGCTGGGAAGGAAATGATGAGGGGGTATACGCCTGGAGCTAGTCATAGTACCTATGCTAGTACTATGAGCTATTACACCGAAATTTTGGACACACTCCTTTTTGGTGCTCGTATAGTGCCCTAAAATAGTACATGTAGATTATTTTCATTTTGCATATTTTAAACTAACAAATTCTTACATTTTCAACAATTATTAATATAAAATGATTGTTTTTTCCCCTACTACTCATTTCTTGTACATGTGCTGCTGTGCAATGTATTGTAACTTAAAATTTAATTTTTAAGCAACTTTAAAATTTGTAAAAAATTATTTTGTTTGGAATGAGTTCAAACTTGCTACACAACATGAGAACGTGTATATGCATCAGGAAAATTATAAAAGTTGAGAATTCTCATTTTTTCATTTTTACTAAAAATTGGCTTGTGACACTACTATAGTGCAAGGATTTTTGCTTGATTTTGGAGCAACTTTAAAAATTTGTAAAACATCCAAATTTCATCAAAATCAGCTCACAATTTATACACAACATAAGAACATGTATATGCATCAAGAAAAGTTATAAAACTGGAGAATTCTCAGTTTTTCAATTTCAGCAATAATTCTCCAACAACCCTGTGGTATAATCTGGCCCAATTTTTGACTGAGTAACGTTAAAAATTAATAAAAAATCTAATTTTTATTGGAATCAGTTCAAACTTGCTACACAACAAAAGAACATGTATATGCATCAGAAAAAATTATAAAAATGAAGAATTCACTCCTAGTCATTTTTGATGAATCATTACTATCATTATTTATTTCAGCTGGTTCACTGTATGCTTAGTCAGTTCAAGTTAAGGTTCATAAAGAAATTGAAGGGACTAATGATATACTGTCAGTAGTGGTACCTCAAGAACTAAGAGGAAGGAGTGAAGAAGTTATATTCCTAGCAGACAGACTTATTAAAGGTAATGGTATGTCACATGACTATCACATGATTGTACATGTCATCTATGTGTACATGTTCATGTGGTTTTTGTTCCAGAGGTTATTTCTCTTAATTCTTTGTTGCCGTCTTGTTTCATTGAGCTTCATAAGCAACAGTTGATGTTAACTCCATGGGAGCAGATACTTAAATCAGCTCAAAATGTGCTCTTCAATGAAGAACTGTTTGCACAGGTATAATACTGTACTATAATAATTAATGTATTTGTATTAATTTGGTTTAGATTATACAATCATCTGTGATCAGGAACTTGTATTATTATGATGTAAAACTGTACAAGAGGAAAGGTTAGAGAGATGTAACGAGATTACTAGAATATACAAAGTTTTACTAGGTCATGACTAGTGGGTGGGTCATCGAACCTTATCGCTATAAAGAAAAACTACTCACACAAGTTGCGTATCTTGTACAGGTGGGTGTGGATGTGGGTGGAGTCAAACATGACGTACATTGAATAGGTTGATATGGGAGGAGTACCAGCAACACTGGTTAATATTGTGTCAAGACGTCAGCCATTAACAGTTGCATATTTACGTGATTAGTTCAAAATCTTCAAATAGAAATGAAAGAGAGAGTAGACCCAGTTATTATCAGGTACTGATTCACCTAGTGATCCAACTATGATGTATAAAACATAATTATATATCATATATTATGGAGTTATTGGCATATATACTAGTATAATAATAGTAATGACATTTTCTACTTTTATATTTTATAAAAATAATAACTATTATAACTATCATAGTCAGTTTGTTGACAAAGAGAGAGATAGATAGTGTGTTCAAGAGAGAGAAGGGAAAGGAGAGGTATTTTTATTATTGAATAACTACTTGAATATTTTCACTATACGATTCTTGTTAGCAGCGTAAATACATCCATCCTTATCCAGTGCTATACCATATGGATTATTTAATCCTGAGACTAATTTCCCATCAGGACTCTCTGCATAAACACAAGACTGGCTATTACCCTTGTAAGTCAATACTAAGATATGTCCATCATCATCAATAGCAATACCTTGAAGATAACCAGAGCCACTATAAGGATTATTGTAGGTATGAAGATGAGTTTTACCATCAGGAGAGAAGACTTGAACATGATTTTGAAAAATAGCAATATGTATTTTCCTTCATTATTGATTGCTACATAAAATGAATCACCATCACATTGTATGACTTGTAGAAATGTACCATCTTCTTTGAACACTTGTACTCTTTTGTTGCCATCATCAGCTACTAATATATTACCTTTACCATCAGTAGACATACCACGAGGATAAGAGAATTGTCCATTTCCATTACCTTCACTACCAAACTGACCAATATACTGACCAGTAGTAGCTGAGAAATACTGCACACGATGGAGATTAACATCAAACACATAGAGCCTGTCTCCTAACAGCAATAAACCCCAAGGACATCTAAGCTGTCCGTTACCATTACCTTTAGATCCAATCCTTCTTACTGCAGTACTATCCGCACTAAATACCTGAACAAACCCATCAGTACTACTAGCAAATACTTCACCATTAGTATGAACAGCAACACCAGTAGTATAATTCTCCACAGTAAAGGATCTCTGGTTAGTTAGTGTGGTATAGTCTCTTGATGCTTTTACTGACAGTTGATAAGGACTACCTTTAATATGCTGACCTCTTATAGTCACTGATAGTTCATATCCACCAATACTTTGAGGTGTGCATGATACAATGGCTGTGTTGTTATCATTAACTATATCAACTCTTTCCTCCTCTTTACTTCCATCACTTTTGATAAAGGAATCCTTCAAATAGCTTGCTGCTTTATCAATGCCTGCTGGTAGAGACACTTTGAATTTCCTTTCTTTCCTTAATGTTGCCAATGGAATAGCTAACCCATTGTCAATAGAATATAGTGATGGCTCAAGCTGCTCAAACTCAAAAAAACTTCCAAACTTACTGATTTCTTTACTTAAAGGAGATATGTCTAAACATGTTACAATTGCTTCATTTTCTTTTATTTCTAGAGGTAGTTTTTTATACTTTTCAATGCATTCCTCTAGTTGATTGGTGATTAGCTTCTTAACACTGAGAACTTCACCTGGATCAGTACGCTCACTCACTGATGATGCAAGATGACGACCATGAGAAACCTGTTTTACCAGTTTACGAAACCCGTCCAACTGCTTTTCGACAGAATTCCTCTTAGCGCTAGCAATCTTTTCTGTCTCCATTAGTAGATCATTGCATCTCTTATCTAAAACAGCTTTAAGCTCTTCAAACGTTTCCTTGATTTCCTGCCTTGCTTCTTCTTTATGTGTTGCTATCTGCTCTAGCATCTTCTCTCCATTAGCAATAGCTTCAGTGACTGGAGGAATGACTCCATCACAACTAGCAACACTTTCCTTTAATGCTTTACGTGCTGTTTCTCCTTCATAAATGCACTCTACGCAATTATGATTTTTATGCTTAATAGGGAGGCAATTACGACAAACTAATTTTTTTCAATCTTTGCAATAATACAGCAGTTCTTCTCTTGAGTGTCGTGGGCAATAGACTGGCTGCTGTGCTGTGACAGGCAATTCTTCAATGACACTCTCCTTTCCCATGTTAACCAGTTTGTGTTGACTTGTGCTTCAGTTTTATTCTTTTATGTGCTGTCTTGCAGAAATTGCATAGAAACAGCCAACACTCATAGCAAAAAGTGACAGCAATATCGTCACTGCATTGTTCACATAATGTGCTTTCTTTCTTGCTCATTTTATCTTTAATGGATGCTTCCTTAACTTGCTGAGCTAGCCAAAGGTTTTGAGTGAGGCCTTCAATTTTACCATCAGGTAAATTAACGCTAGTGTCACTTGTTGGACACTTTAATGAGGTATCAGCACTACCTTGCTTGTCTTTAGCTTTTATTAGACACTTCTTACAGAATGAGTGAAGACAGGGAAGCATGAGGGGATCAGTGTAATACTCTGAACAAACCTCACAAGTCATAGTGATAGCTGGACTTGTGTTTTCTGCCATTTCCTATGAAGAAATAAATCATCACAATACCACTGACTGAAGTATGTTACTTTAAAAAGTGTTCTTAGTCAAAAAGCAAGAGAATAGGTGTAGGGAGACAAAAGCTTTAAAGAGAGCTGTTACTGAAACTTGATCTGCCCACAAGTAACATTATACTTATTATCACATTAGATCTATACTACAGCCTCTCCTTTTTCATTTTTTACAGCTATGTACAGCTTAATGTAATGTGCATATGGAAGTGCTTATGTGTAGAGACTAGAGGCGTAATATTTTGCAGAATTATTTCTACTAGAGCTAAGCAATAATTATGTACAATTTAAACTGAAGTTATGATTAAGAATTAGATCTAGATCTATATGTACATGTGAATTAAATAAAGATCAATATAATGCCATGATGTCTCAAAAAATTCTGCATGTATGTACCATCACATTTCATTGCTGTGACAGCTTATGTGGGTGCATGAGGAAAACACAACAATTATTATCATAATTATATATTTGTTTGACTTTTTCATTAATAGTAGTTCAGCTACATGTAGGTACATTTTCTGTACCTGTATCCTAATTACAATTATTCTAATAATGGCCACCACCACTGCATTAGCATTTCTTTTTGTCTACAAGAACACTTATTCTCCTCATGCAAAGAATATTAGTGTGTATACAATGGCTATCATATGTAACGTCTATCTAGACTACTACAATCAAT